TTTGGCACTAATATGGACTGCGAAATGTTTTCAGAAAATCTAATGAAATATGAATGAAAGCTTTTATTTACAACTCTAGCCTTTAGTAAAATTATAGCAGAATTATAACATCTAAACTCTCATGACATAAACATCTAATCATTGCTTTGAGAAGGTTTTGAGATCCTTCATGATCACTTTTTTATTTTATTTAAAGAGACTCCTGTACCATTATGGATGACGGGGAAACATTAAATTACTTTATATACAGCATAACCAAGATCAGAAAGGATTTTGCATACATACAAATATACAAACACACTGATGAACATTTCAACTTCATACCTTCTGCTTCAAAACAAAAAATAAACACAAAAGTAGTGCCTCTGCAGTCCAAAGCGGAAACAAATCGAGATCAAGAACCAAAGCAGGTGAAGAAGGGCAGCGTTTGGGAGCGTAGCTGGGCTTTGGGTTCTGTGTGGACCGCTGGGACAGTGAGGGAAGAGATGTGGGATCTCGGTGGTGCTTCCTGGTTCTAGTTCCTCTGCAGAGAGCTTTGGGCGGCCGTGGTGGCTGCATTGGCGGCTGCGGTCTGGAAGGTGCGGTTCGTGAGGACGCCCTGGGAGAACTCCGCCTGCGCCTTCTGGAAACTGGCGCCGGTGCGACGGTAGTGGGAATGAACCTGGAAAAGAATCACACCAATGACCCAAGAATCCAAACCAAAGAACCACAGTTTTTCACTCAGAAATCGTGAGCTACTTACCATTTTCAGTAAAACGACCGACAGTGCGGCAGTGGCTGTGAAGAAAGCCGCCACCACCATCATGATGACGCCCACCGCTTTGTTATCGCCAATCGCTGCTATGGCACTAATCCAGCCGCTGTAATCAAAGTGAACATCGATTAACCAATTTTATGTTTGTTCCTTCTAAATGATGCACTGTTAAAATTCTGAATAATGAACAACAACAAAATGCTAATGCCATCTGGGCACCAGATAAGAAGGAAAAGAAAGACCTGCATGTGGTTTTTCTGGATCTTGCTAATGCCTTTGGCATGCCAGTCGCCTGCTGGACAAAATCCCAAAAAACATCCAGTGGGCACAAATGGAGCTCAAACCCAGCAAATGTCGCA